AATGTAACTTTATTTACTACACTAAAAGATACACATTTTATTGAGATAATTCGAAAATCTCGTGGCGGCGCAGTGCATCATGGTGTATCACGAGTGCTTCGTCGGTAGGCGCAGAGTGCAAGAGCGGCGTTGCGCCTTGGCAAAGCCACAGCCTAAGTTTCAATTTACACTGCTGCGGGACGGAATGGAACGCAAGCGTCAATTTCCCCTCGTCGCGCGAGTGGGCGCGCGAATACGCGAGTAAGGCCGGCCATATACATACGGAATTCCGTTTCGAGATTCCGTTTCGGAATCCCGATTCGGGATTCCGTGCATACATCACACACACACGTTTTTTTTCCGTTCGGAATAACAAGGGTCAGTTGAGAGAAGTTAGCCATTGAGTCTAGACATTCTGCCAGCGAATAATGACGACGATTTTCTAATTGCAAATTCCATTGTTGCTGTATCATTCTTACTAGGTGCATCCCCTTATCACCCTAAGCTTGCAATATAGTCAATACTATGTAAAAAGATCTATCTATCCAGAGATATTTTTTAAATATTTATGTATGTAAATTCTATCCACGAATTATTAAATAAAATAAGATGAAAGGTTACGAAAATCTATACACCTACAAGATTAAATGTAAAAACATACATAAATACACCTATTCGCTTCGGTCGTGCGACGAACACTAAGCGCATTCCGTACGGAATTTACGTATGTGTGTTGCGAAAATCTATGGAAGACGTGCGTTCGGAACGGCTTTTTTCCGTTCGGGATCCCGAACGCACAGGCGGTCATACGGAATCTCGAATCGGAGAAATTCCGTACGGAAAAATAACGTACGTGTGTGGCGGGTCATAGATTTTATATGGACTTGCTGCGTTCGGAATCCCGAATCGGAATCTCGAAACGGAATTCCGTATGTATGTGGCCGGCCTAAGGCCCGCCACATACATATGACATTCCGTTTCGGGATTCGGTTTCGGGATTCCGAACGGGTCGGCCACACACATACGGAATCACGTTTTGCCCGCAAAATTTCGAACGGAAAACTACCGTACATGTGTGACGGGTCATAGATTTTATATGAACTTGCTGCGTTCGGAATCTCGAATCGGAATATCGAAACGGAATCCCGAAACGGAATTCCGTATGTATGTGGCGGGCCTAAGTGTGTATATATTTCATTTTTACCGTGTAGGGCCGGTGTAAGATTATCCACAACCCGATATCATCCCGTAGGTGACGTAAAAGGCGACAGAGGAAAACTTAAATAGAGTAGCATCTTCGTCCTTCCTGATAACAGTTTAAAATAACAAAACTGCGATTACCGCGCCGCCTGCCAACCGTGACAACAAAGGCAAAATCCTCCCTATGAGGCAATCTATGAGGGAGGCCTATGTTGAGCAGAAGACTATTATAGGCTGTACCAGATAGATGGATGTCATTATTAGCAGACTGCAAAAAATGGTGGAGGTTCTAAATTCGACTGTTTCTTCTTTGTGTGTTGTTAAGTTAAGCGATATTCTCGTTAATTTTGCATTGATTTTTTTTTATTTGAATAAATAGGTTATATATCAGAGGTGGTCCCGTATAAATTTATGGAGAAAAATCCACCCCTAAGGTGGAAAAATAGGTGACGAAGTTTTCAATGTAACTATTTAGACATTCTAGTTGTAACCTTGAGATTGTGATATCGCTTAGTCCGCGCAAAAGGGTCAATAAATAAAATTTAATGAAAAAGTAAAAGCCAACATCAAGGAACTAAAACGAACAAAATGATCGTCACATAATAGCTTCTGAAGTCGATGCTAAGATAGTGTATAGAAGAATTAAGGCCACGACTTCAGAACGTATTATGCGAAGATTTTTATATTTTTATTTTGGGACTTACGCTTAATTTTGGTCTTTACTAAGCTTGATATAAAAAGTTTTATTAAGACATTAGTCTAGTCTATAAAGTTTTCGATATGTAACATTAAAATCGTTCCGACGGGAAAAGTAATATATACATAAGTCAATGTATATAGGTATTATATTATATTACATATATAGATAAAATTCAAGTGTCTTTTATTGAGCTGAGGGGTTGCATGCCATTAAAACATGAATAGCCATTTTTATAATTTTTGTTTGTCTGTCTGTCTATCTATATATATATATATATATATATATATATATATATATATATATAATCATGACTTCATATATATTATATTATACCTATGTAGTTGGCATGTCTGCTAAATGTAATGATAACTTTTTTATATTTTTATTGACGGCTCAGTAGCGTAGTGACGTTGGCTTTTGGTTGCGACGGTGCAGGTACGAATCCCGCACAGAACAAGTGTTTGTCGAAATAATTGTTTCGGGTCTGGATGCATGTCGTTGTGCAATTTATTTATGTATAACGACTCCATAATACAGGACAAAATTCTAATGTGGGTGTAAAGATTTAGGTAACATGTCCTCGATATATGTGTGGATTAAAGTTTTTTTTTATATAGAATAGGGTGACAAACGAGCACACAGTCCACCTGATGGTAAGTGGTTGCTGTGGCCCATTGACATCTACATCTATCTTCGTTTGCAAATTAAAATGCAGAAGCGTTGACAGCCGTGAGGATTAAGATAGAATGCCTCTTTTGCAGTAAAAACAGGCGACAGGCGCAACATTCTCCACACTCACCATACGAAACACAGCAGCATTAAGCTAGTATTTTACGCTGGTATTCTGTGAGAGCGTGGTCCTTCCCCGGTTGAGCCGACCCATTCGTGCTACAACTATACTAATAATAAAGCTGCAGCATGGCTCTACCAAGTACAAAGTGGATAGAAATGAACACTATCTCTATATATAAAAATCAATTGTTGTCCGTTAGTGTCGCTAACTGAATCGCGAAAGATTAGCTGTTCCAAAAACCAGATTAGTCAAAGTGTCCAAGCAAGGTTTTCTATTAAAAATCAAAATGTACAATAAATTGCCTTAATAAATAACAAGACTTAAATTAAACGCGTTTCGACAAGTGACAAAAACATTATTTTTGAATCACGCTTTCTATAAAATAGAAGAATATATGAAATGTTCACTTTTTGACTTGCTTGACATGTAAAATAATGTAACTATAAATTTAGATGTATATTAATTTGTAATTTTAATAATCTAATGTAATCTTATATTATTAGAATTGTAATTTTGACGTACCAATGTCATGTAGGTAATGTAACGAAATGGCCAATAAATAAATAAACTAAAACTCGAAAACGGCTCCAACGATTTTGATGAAATGTTTTGTGTACATTTGAGTAGATCTCTGGATGGTTGAAATTCACAATTTCACCCGGTAGGTGGTGCTATGGTCCAAGAATCACTCGTGCGAAGCCGGGGGATCGCTAGTTTAAAAGATAAAACGAAGAGAAAAATGATCAGTCATAATATAATGAACTAAGCCATCATAGGTATGTCTTTGAAGTTTAATATTTCCATAAATGATATGTTTAGGACAGATGTTTATTACAATGTAATTCAAAAAAATTGCAGTATATTTACTGCTTTTAGCGATAACTACAAATAGATACTAAGAACTAGACAAGGTTTTAGATATTAAAAGTAATTTATTCAAGAAGCAAACCTCCGAGTATCAAATCGTAGGCAGACTGACGGTCGCCTCCGCGTCTGGTAAATCCGCCCTTCAATTAACGTAAACATTCCAATGAACCAGCATCGATCCTCTCACGCCCCGTGCAATGTGATCGGATGACGACAGCACAATCGTGGTAACATATTTTTAGAAACGTAGTGAAGGGGAACATTGAGTGGGTTGTTTACAGTATTACAAAGGGCAACTGGTTTCGCTAATGGATAGTCTGCTTATAGAACAAAAAAAAATTAAAATATGAAGATTAAAAAGTTAGAATAGAATAGAATAGAATATTTTTTATTCAATATACATTACATGTGTAATTCTTATTGAAAGTCATTTTTTACTTTACCACTGGTTCGAAAAAAAACCCTCTGTCCTGGGAAGAACCAGCAAGAAACCCAGCGGGACTTTTTTTTTTAAATAAATTTTACAATATAAATAATTACGAACTATTTACAAAATTTATTTTAGAAACTGCTTGGAAGCGACCACCTCATTCCCAGGGGTTATTATCAACCATGTATTCATTTATACTATAATAACCCTTTTTATACAGTTTCAGCTTAATAAAACATTTAAACTTGGTAATAGAGAGAACCTGTACACTTTCCGGGACCTTGTTGTAATAGCGTATACATTGCCCCAAGAATGAATTACTGACTCTGTGGAGTCGAGAAACTGTGTGGAGTTAAGATCCGAGTGAAAAATAAAATGTCGAATGTCTAACTTATTTGAAGAACATCTCCCCCCACAATTTCGTGCACTAAACTCCACACCACTAAACTAGAAAAACGACGCAACACCGGCGATAATATTTAATTCCTAAAGATTTACGGGCTCACTTAAAATCGTTGATTACCGCTTATGTATATGTTAATAATCTCTATCTATGCCTGTCTTCCTCTATTGTCATTCAATAAAAAGAGTAAGAGCAACTTTAAGCATTTCTTAATTTGACATTTATTTCATAAGTAAGGCCGTATAAGTTTAGCGGTTAGCCATTGCAGATAGGATTGCCACAAGTATTAGTAGTACGTTATTTCGGGCAAACGTACTTTAAATTTTATGAGATCAGTAAAGTACATGATATTTGTTATACCCATTTTGATTTTTCATTGTGTAACTCGTTCTAGTAGTTACACAACACACACAAAGAATATATATAAGAAATATTTGCTGTACCTATTTACAAGTAAATCATTCCGACGGTTTTTTAGATTTATCGACTTCACAAAAGGGTATTTTTTCAAGTACCTATAATTGATTTTGCAAATTTAAATTTATACAGTCGTGTCATTTCTACTACCCTCCATATCCCTATCAAACTAACCCTTAAATGCTTAAATGTGTATTAAAAAAAAACTCACTTTCATCTGATTGTGGTGCTGACAGGATGGCACTGTGCTTCTTCTTCACCTCCTCGACGTTCGCCTGTATCTTATCTATCATTTCTCTTATTTCTTCCACCTGCAAAAAAAATAAGAATATTGTTTAAAATAATAGACGGTTCTATTTAAAAAAATTAAGACGAGTGTAAAGCCGCGTCTCCACCAACTGTTGTGTTGCCAACACGTGTTGGTAACAAATGTTTCTGTAATTATCTAGTGTTGGCAACAAAACTTGAAACAATGTTGGGAACCGTGTTTCAATTTTCGGCGGCAACATCAAAGAAATACAAGAGTTGTAAACAGTTGGAAACATAAATGTTGGCTTAACGAAACATAACCCTCATTTAATTATTTTCAAAGAATAATTCTGTTTGTTCCTATAACTCTAAGCGTTTAAAAGGTTATATTGTTCCAGGGTCAGTTTAGAAGATAGTAAATAACATGTGGGCGATAGCTCTCACTCACAGTTACCTCGCCCACCTTTTGCCATTTCTATTTTCTGTGATAAAACGGAGTAGTAAAGGTCAAGCGTGTAAAATAATACTTTAAAAGCCTGGAATTGGTCAGGTTTTAGTTATTAAAAATATAAAATTTAATAACCACTCACCACTGAGTAAGAAAGGAGCAGCGACGTTTGAGTACGAAAATTAAACCCTTGCGAAAATCCAGGATGGTGATTAGTAGAAAAATATATTATGTAATAAGTAAATTTTTTGACTAAATATATAGAGATATAAATTAATAACTACATACATACATAAAGTATGACAGCTGAGCTGTTTTACTTTAAATAAGAATTCGGCTGCTTTCTGCGCTGTTTGTTTAGATAATTGAACTCCGCAATTCAATACTTTGTTAAGCCAAGTTTCGATTCTGATATTGAATTGCTAAATTTGTTCAATCAAAAGTACGTTGATGTAAAAGTTCGAGAATATTAAAACAACTGTTACAAAAATCGTACTTATTATTATCTTATTAATATTTATAAATATGAGTTTGTTTGAAATAGAACAGATAGAATAGAATTTATCGCATTCGCATTATCGCAACAATTGCAATCGGTTGATTAAATCCGGTTATGCCAAATGAATGTTTTCCAAAAATTATACGTTTAGTCAGGCCTCTGTCACTCTTGCTACCTGCGTGAAATAATTACCTACAAATGCGAGCTGCCCCAGGGGTAGATCGCAGTCGGGGCTAGCGCGCTATAGGCGATTGAATGTTAAAGTTTTTTTCAACGCTGTTTACGTAAATAATATACTCGTTGAAATAGTTTTTGTTTAGTGTTTAGTATATTTAATTGTAGGATAAAATAGTTGAAAAAGTTTTGATGTAATTTTAGAATAATATATATACCTATCTATTTAATAAATTATAATGACAAAACGTCGTTCCTACTATAATTGTTGCGGGGATGGCAATGAGCAATTAAAAGGATACAGATATATTTTTTGAGTTACCGAAGGATAATGAAAGGTATATTTATATCATGTTTTTGTTAGATAGGTACTTATAGCGAAAAAATAATTAAGTAATAATTTAACTACAGAAGAACTTAAATACTTTATTACAAAACTTAGTTGAAATTTACTTCACTACCCAAGTACCTACTTACATGCCTGTACTCGTCTTTGTAATTAAAATATTTAAAATTATAATAGCACAAAATACTGAAATTAAAACTTTGTTTACAAGATTTTCAACTAAGTAGATTATGATCATATTTCTGTTTGGATTCGTATTTCGGGTTGATTTGTTGTTTACGCTATCTACCAAGTATCGCGATTCCAGACGAATGGCCTTGCAAGTTGCATGCGTTGGGCATCACACTTAGGCATCACAGAACTCACATAGTAGATAATATGGTCAATTATAGTGAGCATAGATACTTTACCTAAGTAACTTACCATTTCACAATGTATTTTTTACTCTTTATTAACAGCCCTTAGCAACCACGAAAAGTCCGTTGTGACGTAGTAAGCAGAAAAGATGCAAAGTAATACGGACAATCGCACGCAGCGATAAAGTTTTATTTAGCTTGCGTGCGTGATTTATCTGATTAATAATAACGATGTAGGCTATTAAAACGTCGGCAAGCAGTCAATATCAAAAAAGTGCAACTTCTGTACGTTAGTACTACTATTTATTCTGTGGTTTAGTACAGGGAGAAGTCTACCCTAGCCAAGGATACTTCTCTTATGTATAGTGTACCTACATAATTTCATATATATTTCCGTAAAATAATGCATGCATATATATATATATATATATATATATATATATATATATATATATATATATATGTTTGTCCAGTGAACAAAAGGTTCCTCTATAGATTTACTCATAGGGGAATATTTGCCATAGTCACTAAGCTTGGTAGGAGTCTTTTCTTTTTCATTAAGTATCTATGGTATTTATATTTTCTTAATCAGCAGTAGCATTATAATTACAATTTTTTATTTAATTTGAAATTTGTTGTCTAGAATATGCTGCTGCCCAACTCCTACTCAGTTATGGGGATGGTGGATTCTGTAACGCCACTATTGAACGACGACTGACCCCTTCACTGAGTTTTAATGTAAATTATATAGACCTCAGACACATAAATTACTACAATGTGACTGTTTTTGACTGTTTTTGTATTGTATTCCCAACTTCTACATTTCCTCCGATACTGTAAAATGTTTATGTTCTCATGCTAAGCGAATTATTGTGTTCCTAATGAGAATAAAGTTCTTAAACCATACACAATCGACGATCAACAAGGATCCTGTTTATCCAATGACAAAATTCCTAAATTCAACACATAAAAATTGCTTTAAAATTGTTGATAGACAATAAAATTTTATCGTATAAATAAACACGATTTAAAAACCCAACAGTATATAATTAAATAAATAAAAAACGGTGAAACTTTTTATCTCCTAACATTATTGAAAACACAGAATAGGTAAAACAGATTTTATATTTATCCAAAAAATAAATTACAAAATTAACATAGGACTTGTTATAAATAGGCATTTATTTATTTGGATTGCGAATTCGAATCGATAACGCTGAGTAACATTGGTGGCGTTCCTGGCGAGAAGCCAACTAGTGTGCTATCGTCGGTTGTTAATTATGTTAATATTCTTTTATCATGACAACAGCGTGGAATGGGCAGAATATCAAGCTACGCCGTGGTGTTAAGTTCAAATCAAATCAACGTAAAAACACTTTGTTGGATTTCAGAGCTAAATGTTCTGGGATTGTAGCAGTGTTTCTAACACTGCATCCTAACTCCTAACACAATACAAATTACATAAGCACATGCGTTACAAGAAGACATGTGAAGTTCGCCAACACGCATTGGGGCAGCGCGGCGGATATTTCCTTGCCCTAAAAAACAGAGAAACCTCTCAAAAATGAGAGCAGGCCTGTGCCCAGCAGTGGGACGTATATAGGCTGTTACTTTACTTTTTATTACCCAGGGAAATAAAGGGCAAATAAAAAGACAATGGTATAAAACCATTGCCTCTTTATATTTGCGCATAGATTTGTGGTTGTAGCATAATATCTCTTGCACAATCGATAGACATTGAATATTAATTGACGCAATCGTCAAAGTTCACCACGAAGAGGGTAGTCCCTCTCAATAGAGTATAATGAGGTAGGGTAAATTGATAAGGCATCTATCTTGTACTTTAGGGAGTGACAACGCATATAAAATTTTGTTAATCAGTAGTAACATTATAAGTTTATTTATAAATATTCCATCTAATATATAAAAAATTATTTTTGTTTGTTCGTATTTCATGCGCAGACATACATAATCAGATTGTGGTAAAAATCAACTTATTGCTTGCACTTGCTCAAGGGATATAGGCATAGTAAAATTAACTTACATTATGTAGCGCCCTCCAAATTTAAAACCATATTTCCACAAATTTTTCTTCTCCGGCAGCAATGGGCCGGGTACCAGCTAGTAGAATTATAATAATATCTAGAGATACAATATGAACTTTGATGTCCAGCGATTGTTCGCGAGTCGCCGTATGGCTTCTGGCTGAGCGCTGCGGTAACTCTGTGGCTGTTGTGAATGAAAAAATGGCTACACATAAAATCTAATAAATTTATTAACATAAGCAAGTTTTTCGCTGCTCTTTCGTTCGTTCGTTTGAAATCCAGTGCAGTGTGAAATTTGTTTTCTAAGGTAATTCCTTTTATTTATTTTTTTTATTTTGTTATTAAGTTAAGAATAAATATTATGCTTTTTCTTTCTTTCATTGCTGCTACAAAACAAAATTTTTGACTGCGTTTCACTAGGCTTATGGGAGTCTGGATTGAGTTGTTACCCTTTCTTTGCACAGCATTACTTTGAATTTACAACGGAAACTGGCAAATTTCCAGCCGCGTAACTAACGCCCATATTACTGCAGCCTAACTTTATGTACAATTACGAACTAAAAGTTAGTTGGACTTAGCACTTATTCCGTTCATCTGCTAAGTGTGAAAAGCAATACTAATTTTTCAATTTGTTCAATTTTGAAGTTGTTTTAAGAAATAAGTTGCGTTAGTGAAATAAACGCGAAGCAAAAATTTGATACACTTTTAGACGTTTGTGGGAAAGAATTAAATTTATTAACATAAGCAAGTTTAATATCGCGCATATTACAAAATGTACATAGGGAAATATTATTTGTTTAACCTATGCGATCGAAACGGCTGAACGAATCCAAACGTAATATCGCTCGCAGCTCCAAAGTCAAGGTCTGCCGTAAAACTTCTCTAACACCCGAGGGAGATGTTAAAAATAAAAAAAAACGTGAATACCATTTTGAGAAGGATGCTGTAGGTATTATAATGAACTCATGAAATCAGCTCTCGTCGGCTATAAAAGAAAATCATAGCGGAACCTTACTGTGTAGGAATAATGATATTGCTAAAGTTTGAAAGTTATTAAATTTTCTTTTATTATTGAGGTGTAATATCTTCAATCAAAATTAAGCAACATCATCTTCTTTTATTAAATCAACAGATTTAACGCATCGTTAGTAAAACGCTAATGAACGTCGAAGAACTTTAGCCATCTCATTAGTT